TACTGTATAGCTTCTTAACCATAAGATTTTGCGGTAGCTGAAGCTGGATGCTACAGCGTGCAAAAGAACACGGTTGAAAGGTAACATGTCCAATAGTTTGCACAAAATCATGATAAACATGCAGAGTGATGGACTTTTCTACCGTCTTTTGGTAACCCCTCGTAGGCCATCAAAATTTCAGAGCATGACCCTGCCTTTCTTTTTGGCTCAGCCACGAAGCAAACTTATTTCCATGGCAAGATGATGTGGTTCGGGCCGCAAAATCACGAAGCAAACAATGGCATCTGCAGAGTGCACAACCTCTCACATTTGCCAAGGGTATAGAGGAGATATTGTCACATCATGTAACTTTATGATAAATGCTAAGAGCTACAGGCATAACATTTATGAAACCATTCCGTGTTCCTGTTCCTGTCGGAGCCAAGAACAGGTCCAATTCTGTGGGGTATCTCCCCATGTAGGTTATTTTTGTGGGTCAATGAACATCAATTTTTCAGACATTGGTATTCACCATTTTTTCACATCAATTTTTGAATGAACATTTTTTTTGTGGGTCAATGAACATCGATTCACCAGGAATTCACCATGGTTTTTGCACTTTGCTCCCCAAAAAGATCTCAGAAAGTTCGCCACCATGGGGAGCAAATCGACATGGAAGCGACTCTGCCTGGAGCCCTGGCAGTGGCAGGCGAAGGCCGAAGGCCCGTCCAGTGAGATGTGCTGTAAACAGACATATGATATATATATATATATGTATGTATGTATGTAATGTAATGTAATGTAATGTAATGTAATGGTATGTAGTGGTATGTAATGTAATGTAATGGTATGTATGGTATGTATGGTATGTATGGTATGTATGGTATGTATGGTATGTATGGTATGTATGGAATGTATGGAATGTATGGAATGTATGGAATGTATGGAATGTATGGAATGTATGTAATGTATGTAATGTATGTAATGTATGTAATGTATGTAATGTATGTAATGTATGTAATGTCTGTAATGTCTGTAATGTGTGTAATGTGTGTAATGTGTGTAATGTGTGTAATGTGTGTAATGTGTGTAATGTGTGTAATGTGTGTAATGTGTGTAAGGTGTGTAAGGTGTGTAATGTATGTAATGTATGTAATGTATGTAATGTATGTAATGTCTGTAATGTATGTAATGTATGTAATGTATGTATTATATGTAATGTAATGTAATGTATGTAATGTATGTAATGATTGTAATGTATGTAATGTATGCAATACATGTAATGCATGTAATGCATGTAATGTATGTAATGTATGTAATGTATGTAATGTATGTAATGTATGTAATGTATGTAATGTATGTAATGTATGTAATGTATGTAATGTATGTATTGTATGTTATGTATGTAATGTATGTAATGTAGGTAATGTATGTAATGTATGTAATGTATGTAATGTATGTAATGTATGTAATGTATGTAATGTATGTAATGTATGTTATGTATGTTATGTATGTTATGTATGTTATGTATGTTATGTATGTTATGTATGTTATGTATGTTAGTATGTATGTATGTTAGTATGTATGTATGTATGTATTTATGTATGTATGTATGTAATGTATGTATGTATGTAATGTAATGTATGTATGTATGTAATGTATGTATGTATGTATGTATGTATGTATGTATGTATGTATGTATGTATGTATGTATGTATGTATGTATGTATGTGTGTATATATATATATACAGATACATATTTACGCGGATTTATGTCTGATGTTTGAATCATTTCTGGAGATGAAGGCTTCAACTCTATGGGTTTGAGTTTGAGTTTGGAACCCTTCCGGTTGAAATATGGCTTTGAGAAAACATTGGATACCCCAAGAATCTCCCATTTTTCCGTCCGGTCTCTGAAGTTATAAATTATTTCATTCGCGATCCGTGGCTTATATTATCATACCTATATTGAATATATTTGTATGAACATATCTGTAATAATATATAAATATATTTATGTATGTTTGTATAATTCGTATATATATATAGTAATAATAATGAATGTATATATACATATATTTATATAATTATATATACACGTATACCTAGGGAATCCAACTAGGTGTACGCACTCCGCCAAGCAGTCCTAGCAGGAAACCCTCGAAGCCGCTGCAGATCGCCTTCTGACCAAAGGCGAGTGATGTCACCAGAAATGCTGCGCTTAGGGGTGTAGTTAACTTAGTTGGGATTATTCATGCTTGATATGATCAAATGCTACTTAGGGATGTTTGATCCCATGGTTAACATATCCATGGTTGTATTACTTCATGGTTGAGATGGGTTAACAATGAGTAATGATTTTCCATGCTACTTAAGAATGCTAACATTACTGGTTTTTAATGGAGAAACCATTGATATAACCATGGTAATGACACGTAATTCCCCCGCACAAGTTGGGAGATGTTTGGCCCAAGTATGGGGGGAATCATCCCCATATGGCCGAACTTTTCAGATTGAACTTATGTTTAGATTTATCCAGATATATTGATTATCTTTACATGTTACATGTAATTTATATAGTATATATATATATAGATATTTATATTGTGGATATGTATACATGATTATACATGATATATGTATATGTATGATTATGTAGGCACAATGTATAACCTTTGGAGCATTAATATTGGAGCACATCCTCCTGTTCATGTGGGTATATGCGGATGAGATCATCCCAAAGTATACCCATGTTGCTGATGATGTACTAGCCCAACAAGCTGGCAAACTTGGGGTATACGCTGTCTTCGCATACACCATATATCCATCACATCCCCTGTACATCCTCATTTTTCCTAGTGTGGGAACGCCCTGTTGCAAGGTATACGCCTGGTCCATTTTGGATGCTACGAAGATGCCTCCCGGCAACTGACTGAGGTCTCACCGGCACGGTCATCTCAATTCTTGCTGCTTTAGTTCCCATTTGAGCAGTGTTCAAAACCCCTATTGGTTGATGATTATAGGGGATTATACTACCCAACATATTGTGGATTATAATCATCCAATAGGGGAATTTGACTCTATTGGCAATACTATTGCCATCTCTACTTCACATTGCTGCAGTGAAATTCATCTTCCCAGCCAATCTCCAAGCATGATCCAAGATCACTGTATATTTCCGTGAGGATGTAAATTTGAGATTTTTCATTCCCCGGTGAGAGCCAGCTAGGGCCATTTTGCATGTAGGGCATCAACGGAATTTCTCGTTTCCAAATCCTCTCACTACATTTCTTCTTCTTCTTCTTCTTCTCAAGCGCTGATAAGCAGGTGGTTTCTTTGTTGTAGTCTCATCCAAGTATCAATACCATGAGACAATTGTTGTGAACTAAGTATGGGATATCCACACGAAGAGGCGGAAGAGCTCCTGGCGCATGCCGAGCGCATTGCGGAGGCGAGGGCCGACATTACGCCATTGGAGGATGTGGGGTAGATTTGCCATGAAAAAGCAGGGAATTACCCTCCGGACCCTCCGGTAATCAAACGTGGCAATGGGAAATCCCCCATCAATGGAGGTTTTGAGCTTGTAACTCGGAAAAATGGTGAGACAATGGGGATATGATGGGAATGTCCAACACTAGGGGGAAGGGGGGAAGGGATTGGAAGAACACCAAGCAGATGGAACATGGCGGGTGCAAGCAACAAAAATGAGGAGATCATAGGATAGAGAAGCGACAATAACCAACAAAGGGATTACTGTAGAATGGGAATATAACTAACAAGGTAGTATGATAGTTGATTATTTAGCAAGGGATTTGCTGGCAAATTCAATGGCAACAATGGTCTTTAAACAGCACATGCGGTGTACCATATTTTCAGATAAACCTATGTGGAAATGACACCAAGCATTTCATGGACCATGGGGATTGCATGGGGGTTGAATGAGGATATATACATATATGATTATATATGACTATTGTGACTCAGAATATAATATGGGGTTGTCCAGAAATGTGGTGTACCTCAAGTTATGCTATTGACATAGTGAGACTTTCGGGGGAATCATGAGCAATCTAGACGGATGAAACTGAGGGGTTTCCAATTTTTGGAGACACCTTTGCATCCCTTTTAGTGACTGGTGAATAACACATACTACATACATGTATAAATAGATTAACAAACAAATTACAACATTGAATAAATAAATAACTTAATGAATAAAGTAAATAAATAAATGCATAAAAACATAAATAGATACATAAACGGATACATGAATAATATATATATATATACATGAATAATATATATATATATATTATATACATAAAGGGACTATCCCCCCGTATATGTACTGATTGTATGACTGGGGTGCTGCGTGAGTATGGTTAAGGACCACTTACGAGCTGGGATGCGCATCCAAGTGGGAACACGCACTTTCCGCCGTTGAATCCTTTAAGCCTAGCCATGAATGTTGGTGAAGTTACCAATGGCCTTCAGCTTGGTTGAGATTTATTATAAGATCCCAGGAGTATATCCAGACTGATGGTACGAATATCTCGCCCGAGCAAATATCTTGAACTCTAAAGAAAATATTGATGATGATACTTGGACTCATTATTGCTAATTATTTTATTAGTTTGTAGTACTACTAATATTTAGCAATAATTAGTACTACTGAAACTGGTTAGTAGTACTACTCATAATTTTATAACTGATTATGGTTATTAATGATGGATTAATCTATTATGGTTATAACCAATTAGTTTTACTGTAATAGTAATTGTTGGTTATAATATATTCTATTTATGACAATTTATAACTCGATTGGTTCTTATGGTTATGCCTCCGTCCAGGTGCATCAAAGGCTGTCGCTGGCGGCCACGGTGACAAAGTTCATTCTGGAGAGAAGGCGATGTCAAGGGGTCTGGGGAAATGCCTCTGGTATTTCACCATCAAAGTACCAGAAAAAATGCTGCTGTCCGTCGCCTTGCTTTCGTCTTCCTTATCTCTTTTGTTTCCGCCTTGCTCGCTTGCTCTTGCTCCTTGCTTTCTTCTTTGTCTGCTCCCCTCTCTCTGGCTCTTACAGTTTGCTGTGTCATCATTTCTTGCCACTGGCTGCTTGTAATGTCTTCTCTGACGCGCTCCCCCTGCTGCAAGCGGGGTCGGCGGATTTATACACTGCATATATACCTGCCTACCTACCTACCTACCTACCCTTACCTTACCTTACCTTACCTTACCTTACCTTACCTTACCTTACCTTACCTTACCTTACCTTACCTTACCTTACCTTACCTTACCTTACCTACCCACCTGCCCACCTACCCTACCTACCCTACCTACCCTACCTATCTTACCTACCTTACCTACCTTACCTTCCTTACCTTACCTACCTTACCTACCTTACCTACCTTACCTACCTTACCTACCTAACCTACCTAACCTACCTAACCTACCTAACCTACCTAACCTACCTAACCTACCTAACCTACCTAACCTACCTAATCTACCTAACCTTACCTAGCCTTACCTAGCCTTACCTAACCTTACCTAACCTTACCTAGCCTTACCTAGCCTTACCTAACCTTACCAAACCTTACCTAACCTTACCAAACCTTACCAAACCTTACCTAACCTTACCTAACCTTACCTAACCTTACCTAAGCTTACCTAAGCTTACCTAAGCTTACCTAAGCTTACCTAAGCTTACCTAAGCTTACCTAAGCTTACCTAAGCTTACCTAAGCTTACCTAACCTTACCTAAGCTTACCTAAGCTTACCCAAGCTTACCTAAGCTTACCCAAGCTTACCCAAGCTTACCTAAGCTTACCTAAGCTTACCTAAGCTTACCTAAGCTTACCTCAGCTTACCTAAGCTTACCTAACCTTACCTAACCGTACCTAACCCACCTACCCCACCTACCCCACCTACCCCACCTACTCCACGTACCCCACGTACCCCACCTACCCCACCTACCCCACCTACCCCACCTACCCCACCTACCCTACCTACCCTACCTACCCTACCTACTCTACCTACCCTACCTACCCTGCCTACCCTGCCTGCCTGCCTGCCTACCTCCCTACCTACCTACCTTACCTACCTTACCTACCTTACCTACCTTACCTACCTTACCTACCTTACCTACCTTACCTACCTTACCTAACCTAACCTTACCTAACCTTACCTGACCTTACCTAACCTTACCTAACCTTACCTAACCTTACCTAACCTTACCTAACCTTACCAAACCTACCTAAGCTACCTAAGCTACCTAAGCTACCTAAGCTACCTAAGCTACCTAAGCTACCTAAGCTACCTACCTACACTACATGACATGCATACATACGAACTGCAGTACAGCACAGTACATTACAGTCGCTACATAGATGAAGCATCTCAGTCTTCTTTTGATTTATGTTTCTGCCCCCAAGTCATGGGAGGGCGGGCCCCGGGCTCCTGAGGCGTGGGCGCGGGGACAAGGCCCTGAAGCTGAACGGCGACTGTGAGGAGGCGATGTTGGGTGAACTCGGAGTTGAGCCCATGGTGTAACCAACCAGTAATGGGTATATATATAATATGTATATATATATATGTATACACACACACATATATATATATATATATCAATTTTCGCAACCATTATTGGGTATATTAAGCAACAACCAACCAACCATTGACAATGGGTGTATTTTTCATAACCCGAATGGGTAAATTAAGGATTGTAAAGGGGTGCTTATCACCAACAAACATGGGGATATAATGGAGGTATCTATGGGATATCTTTGGAAATGGCAGGATTTCATGGGGCATGGTGATCTGAAAAAAGGATAGCGGTACAATGGTGATTAATATCATGGGGATATATGTTTGATATATATATATACATGAATGGATATGTGAATTGATATGATGGGATAAATATGAATACATATAATGGGATACATGGTGATATGTATTTGGCGATCCAAACTCTTTAGGTAGGTGAATTAATATGATTTATCTAGATCCATGAATAAAAACAACTTTAAAACAGGGGACACATGAGGTTCTAGTGGATTTTAGTTACACCTGGCATAGCATCATTTTCGATCTTAAATGTGAAAAAGCAGCTGCCATTGGGATGGTTTATATAAGTTCATAGCATACATTTCTGATAAGTCATTGGGTATGGTTTATGGCATTGGGCATGGTTTGTGGTAATTATACCGTTTAGTTCAGGACTCACCAGAAATGGGATTGACTGGTAAATCCAATCATAGAGCCAACATCTTTTTTGGGCGCAGAGGTTTTTTGCACTTTGTACATTGTACCAAACCAAACCATCCATTTTTAAGTGGAGTCTTTTCTAACAAACATGGATTGATTAGTGGATTTAGTTTGTCACCTTTTGGGCCACTTAAAATGAGGCCTTGAGCCGGAGAGCTCAACCTGCCCGAGTTGAAAATTGATGGTAACATACCAAGAGCCGGGATGAGAAAACCTGTGGTTCTACTTCTGGCATTGGTTGACGCACCCGTTTCGTCGCCGGGACCGAAATATACGGGAAGTGGGCAAGGACAGTAGGTAGATGCAGGATTGATAATACAATTCGTGCGGCCACACAGACACAGCTTCATTCTTTTTTGTCCTGGACTCCAGATCTGGAATTTTGCTATGATACCATCTGGTTATTTAAGATAGCCATGGAAAATCCCTCACAAATGGAAGTTTTAATGGAAAAATCATCTATAAATGGGCAATTTTCCATGGCTAACCAGAGGGTAAATGAAATCTGTTTGATTTTCCCAAAGATTGCGAAAGAACTCTGTTTCCAAACCACCTACCAAGCGCTTATCCTTCCAAGGAAATTCAATTTTCAGGGCATAATTTTGTTCCGATTCCAGCTCTTGGTTGGATATGGTTGACAATTTGTTGATGTGTTTGTTAATCATTGTTTGTCCACATTTGCAGCTGTTTCCCAACCACCTTCAGAAAACACCAAGTTTCATCTATTTTCCGGTCAGTTTAATTAGCTAATATTCAGCCAGATATATCCCCTTATCATCCGTTATCCGCGAAACCCCATGAAATCCCTGTTAAGACCCAGTGAAATGCCCATTATTTTTTTTTGACCAAGTGTGAAAACGGGACCGTTCGCCCGAATGACTTCGACACAAGGGCCTAAAGTTCCATGGGTCTTGGTGTTTTTTGACTTTGTGGGTTGTTATCCTGATTTACCCGAGTGGGTTGACGGCAAGAAACTTCAACATTTTTTGAGTCAATTCACGACCCGATTTCGCCGTTTCTGCCATGGAAAATTCACTTCATATCATCATTGCATGAATCTCCGCGACCTCCATTTTGGGAGGTTGAGTAGTTGAGTGGTTTTGTTGGGTTGTTCAAACCTGTCTCTATTCACAAAGTCACTTTCCTTAGTGTTCATTCTTCTGCTCAAATTGGCTATTCGGGTGGGTCTCCCTCTGCCTCTGGTAGAGGTCCTGGTGTGTCCTGTCGGTCCATTGATCTTCTTTTCTCTGTCCTCGGATCATTTCCTGCTTTCGCTGATTAATTGTGCTTTCTGCTTTCATTACCTTGCTGAGTTTCGCGCGCGGCACTCAGAGTATCAGGCTGCAACAAAAAAATCATTGAATTCTCTATTTTTGATGGTTCAACCGGCCATTTCCGAACTGGCTTCGTCAGGCCCTGGATCGACTGGAGCAGCGACGCGCATCGGCCAGACCCTTGGCGTGTGCGGAGTCCGAATCCAGCAGCGGAAAGGGGCGGGGTCAACGGAAAGATGGGGTGAACCATTAAACATCGGGGAGTTTTAGTGGTTAATAACAATAGTTATCAATGAAGATTTATAGTGTTTAATATCGGTTTATATTGTTTAATACTGGTGTAGTTAGGGATTTGTAGTGGTTAATAACGGTTCATATTATTGGTTCATATTGGTGTCGTTAGGGATTTATAATGGTCAATAACGGTTAATACTGGTTAATATTGGTGTAGTTAGGGAATTTTAGTGGTTAATAATGGTTAAAACTGGTTAAGTCACATCTAAGTTCATCTAAGTATAATTATAATCACCATAAATAAATGGCCTTTCGGGATTTACCCTCTGGTTATGCAACATAGCTATGGTATAGATGGATGAATATAATATGGCCCATGAAAATGGATGATATATATATATATATATAAATGATGATTTACCCAGCTATGACATGCTAACTTTCAATAGCGATGTGAAATTAACAAAGGGTAACCAACAGAAATAGTGGTAGAAACTAGAAACCAATGAACATTGTTTGTTGTTGGAAAAAATGTTTGGTTTGTGGTTTCAGTCAGATTTTGCCGACAAATACGGAGGTTTAACCACCATCCAATAGGGGCAGAGCTTCAACACTTGATTGATTGGTGGTCTAAACTCATTCTCCAGTCGCCAGCCCTACTTTCGATGATCTTCAAGGGACTTGTTTTTTTTGCCCGGGTGAAGCAGCCACCAAATATGGGGAGGGGAGCATCCCGGCAGAGCCTGGGGGGTTTTTCGCAGTCCTGGCAGCTTCAGGTTGGCACAACCTGCCTTTGTTGTTGCGGGCATGTTCCAAGTCGCTTGCCAGGGAATTATGTCTCGGAGTGGTTGCTTCACACGGCGAACGATATTACGAAAAAAATGTCGCCGCAAAGGCAAAAACATGTGTGCCCGAAAGATCCGCGAAAACCCCCCGCGAAAGCTTGTAGGGAGTCGAACCATTTTTTAAGACCCGATTTTGGACGCCGCTCAGGCACTCCGTATTCAGAATGACCTGGTACACCCCACACCACATTGAGCCCGGGTCAATGATTTAACTATTGTCATCAAACAATGTCCTTGGGAGTTGTCACACTCGAAGCTCGCCATGGAATCTGGTTGATTATGTTCAACCGAATCAGGAAGACCATGCTTTACTGAAGATGGTTGGACTTTCCAAGCGACATTCTTTGGCAAAGATGGGCTCAAACACTTACCCTCTGGTACTTTTAAAACACCCAGTTACCCACCCAATTCCCAGAGGCCCCGGATGGGCGCCCAGAGCACCCAGGTCGCAGATCTTGCCCAATAAGAAAGGCCCCATCGGAGCTACGCAGCGTTTCGCAACATGATGGTCTGAAGATTTTTGCCACTGATAGGTGCATGGTGCCACTATACTATATATATATATATTATATGTATATCTGTATATATATATATATGTGTGTATATATATATATATTGCGAAAGTCAGACCCTCTGACCCTTTTCCAATGCCTGCCGTGCCTTAGCTCCACTGCCCTCCCGCCACTTGAGCCGCGGCGAACGGACACCCGATCATCACGGGAAAATGTCAATGAACCTGTCAGCTTCAGGAAACTAGGAAGTTTCACACACCTTATTCTTTGCTAGAAAACCCTACTTGGCTTTCTTCCTGAAGAAGACAGTTTCACCTGTCCATGGACTGGATAAAGGTGCAGCACCACGTGTTCCGGGCCAAAAGTCTTTCTCAGTCTTTCACCCCTTTACTCTAGTCTCCCTACAAGCAGACAACTCCTTGATATCACCGGGGACACCCAGTAACCCCAATAGGGACAAACCTTCTCGTTCTTGGCAGCACGTGGATCCTACGCACCATGTCTCCAGGTCCAAGTTTCCAAAAATCTTGAGATCCAAAATGTTCAGAGACCATCACTGGTTGACTGTCTTCAGTCAAATTTGGATCAGAGTTATCTTCAGGCTCTTTCTGATCCTTGACCCATTTGAGTCTCTGTCTTCCATCCGCACGTTGTTTGAGTATCAAATCCTCATCAAACAAAGAATACCGACCTGTTCGTAGGCACTCCCTCAAAACCGATGAGTCCATTGTCTTTGTCAAACAGTCCGCCAACATGGCCTGACTAGTCACCCACCTGACATCACAATTTGATTTGAGACGTTCACGGATGAGAAGGCATTCGATGGTCGTTCTGTGCTCTGTACAGCTTGGAACTGCTGTTCTGGTAAGTATATCAAACATGGACCTGCAGTCTGTAACTACATTTCGCTTTGAAGCACATCCTCTGGACTGCCCCATTCACAGTCAGGGTCTTCGACCCATGCCCACAGCATTCTCAGCCAAAGAAGTCTGTCTACTGAGTTGCTGAGTGCTGCCGCCTCTGCACTTAAGGTGCTGCGTACAACACGGGGCACCTTTTTGCTGGACCATGCAACTGGTGCTACCACTGCCCGTTTATTCTCCAAAATTTCAGGGGTAGTTGTGAACACCAAAGTCCCCTGATGAGCTGTGCTGTGTTTGCTTGAAAGAAAACTTGCATCAGAAAATGCACAAAAGGTCACCCTTTTTGGTTCAATGGGCAGCACCATGAGAGACACCGGATGGCTTTTTGCCTCGTGCAAAATGCGGTTGCATTGCATCAAGTCAGCTATGGTGGCACGTGTCACCGACGCTTGAACCTCGCCAATCTTGGCGCACAAATCCGGTCGGGTATGAACGCCTGCATACTGGAGTGCACCAATGAGACTTCTGAGAGCATGTCTCTCTTTGTCATCAACAGCAGTCTCTGGCCTAGCTTTGCGCTCCCTTGGAGTCGAAATGGGCTCTATCCTCTCTATGTAACCCTTTTGGTCATATTCAATGCTCCCATCGTCCCATTGTTTAAACTGAATTCCAGTATACTTGAACTCCCCTGTCTCAAACGTTCCAAACTTGAACTGCTTTTCCACCCTGCCTAACATTTCTAGGAATTCCGGGGTTCCCCCACCGATGCCATCATCCACATGAATCCCAAGGCATCCCAATGGCTTGTATTTGCCATCGGGTCCAGTCTTCCCATATGTAAAAACGCATGGATCCAACGGGCACTGACGACAGTTTTGTCGTAAGAGTTCATCTCTCAATTCACAAAACCACAAGTAAGGGGCGTCTATCCTTCCATAAGCCCCTCCACTTAGTGCACATTGATCCCCATCATCCATTGAGAGAGCCTCTTTGATCTCCGGTGGAGGGTGTATCCCAGATTCCGGCCGTCCCCCTTGCCATGCAAAAACGCCGTGCTGATGTCAAATGACACCAGCGGCCATTTGTGGCTGCTCACCTGTTGGAGAACTGTTTGCCTACCATCCTTTGACAAAGCCGGGCTATCATTCTTGATTGTAGAGATATCTGGATCCTCATATCCTATGATCACCAACCTAGCCTTTGCCCCTTCTTACCGTTCAAGGCCAGTTCACCTGGAGGCTCATCTCCATTGGCTCCCTTCCATGTGAGCAACCACCTGCATCGCATGACTGCATGTTCCGGAATTCGGCCCTTTGAAACCTTTTTTACAGTGCGATGATGCAGCCATGCACGAATTTCTTTGTCCTTGGCTGCTGCAAACCTGAGTTGGTCCTCTTCTCCAAGGTCTTTCAAAGCAACCTCAACCCTCTTTTTCCTGGTCTCAGTTGCCACACATACAATTTCCTCTGGATTTTCCCAAGACCAACTTGGATCACAGCTCGGGGGTGTAATATCAATTTCCCACATTTTTGTTGGATCAGGATGCCAGAAGTTCACAGTGTCCCCAAACAGTAAATCACCATCATCCGGTACAGGAGTCCCAATTCCCCCAAAATCCCCAGGTATCTTCTCTACCCCCTCACAGGTTACCTCCCTCTCAGGTTCCCCAATTGAAGGATCATATCCCGATGATTCAAGGGTTTCGTGGTCAATTACTGGATCTGGCTCAGTTCGGAAATCCTCTTCACCTGGAATCTCTTCGGACTCCAAGTTAAAGAAGTCTTGTGCATGAATTTTCTGAAGCCAGGATTTCACGGGGATCATTGCTTCTTCTGAGCTCTGTACAGCCTTCCATTCACGCATGGACGCTGGCCGGAGTTGTTCCGGGCTCGCTCGGACGAGCTGATGCGCATGAACCAGCCAAATGACCCTCTTCCCCTCAACTTGGACCACTCTGGCAGGACCATACCATCTACCCCGCTCCCTCCTTAAATTTCCTCCTTTCCTTTTCCAGTAAAGAACCCAATCCCCTTCTTCGAAGGGTTCTCTGATTGGCCTGGTTCTTCGGAGCAGGGCACGCCGCAAGCTGCTGCAGTTATCAGCCTCGATGAAGGCTTTCCTTGCTAAACTGCGCCGGGACAACGCCGCACGAAACTGATCACTCTCAGTAGTGTCTCCATCTGCCAATGTGTGACTTGTTTGAGAGGTGTCAGAAACAATTGACGCAGGCAAGCGCCTGGAAATCCCCAACACCGCTTGTTCCGGGGTATATCCCTTAACCCGAGATAGTGAATTTTTGGCACACACGGCTTGAACCAAGTAATGAGAAAACTGTTCAGGAGACTCCACTGGATGTTCAGCATCCATTCGCTCAAGCATCCTTTTCAGGATTGCTCCATGAATTTCAGTTCGACCAAGCTGCCTGCCAATGGCTGTCCCTGGCAGTGACCCGTGCCTGGATCCCCTCTTCTTGCAACCGAGTCAAGAACTCCTCTGACAGATATTCTGTTGCTGGGTCAAAATACATTTCTTTAGGGGGTCCCGCCCAGGTCAGCCAGCAATTTTGAAATGCTTGAAACTGCGCTGCAGCACTTTCCTGACATGGCACTGCCTGTTGAAACAGAGTACCCTCATCCACAACATGAACAAACCAAAACGAACCCCCTTCTGACTCGTCCAAAACGCCATGTCCATTCCAACAACCTGATTAAAACCAATGTCTTCATGAATTGCTGCCTGCCTGGTCGCCTGAAATCCCTTTTGAGACTCTACACATGCATCACATTGAAAGTCCAGTGA